GGGGCCGAAGACCTCCCAGCGGCGGTCTAGTTCACCCGGCAAGCGGTCCGAGGACGCTCCCAAGTCCCCCGGCCGGGAGGGCAGGCGCTCGCGCTGCCGCTTCCACTTCACCGAGGAGGACCTGCGCTTGGTTCTGTATGGGGTCATTCCCAGCACGGAGCGCCCGGCCAGCCTGCACCACGCGATCTCGGGCCTCCTGGTCCCCACCGACAGCCCCGGTAAAGGGAGCCGGCACCCTCTGGGAGCTGGGATGGGTGGGGACCGAACGGGAGCGGGGCTGGGAAGAGACGGTGGCGGCGGGGTGCTGCCGCCCTCGGAGCCTGGGCAGCCCGGGCCCACTTCGGCGACCCCGCCCGCCGGCTCCTCAGGTTTGGGTGAGACCCGGGGTCCGGGGAGCAGGGGCTCATCGCCGAACTTGCCATCCGGGGCCGGATTCCAGGGAACGTGCACGTTATCTCCCTGACAGCCTCACCGGCCACCTTGACCTTCGTCAAGCTTTGTCTCTGATCCTCAAGTTCCTTAACGTTTGCCAGATGGGCTTAATTTCCTAACCTCGCCAAAGGTTGTCCTGAGTCTCCAGTGAGAATTTGTGGGCGAAAAGCTCGTGGAAAAGGAGCAGGGAAAGAATGAAGGACAGAGAAACGTCACGCTCAGAAACCAGGGTTGCCTCTAGGGAGCTAAGGGGCGAAACGCCTCATGGAAGCATTTCGGGATCCCTTTCTGGTAAACAGTGTTTCACCCCGCCTTTTTTTCTAGGCTCTGAGTCTCTTCCTCCAACTCTGGATAAAGACTCCCTTCAGCTTCCAGAAGGTAGGCGGGACTCCTTGCCGGGATTTCTTCCCCTGAAAGAACGGGGAGCCCTTTTCCTCATCCTCTTTTGCCCGGCTCCGGGTTTCCCCTAGGTCTCTGCCTCATGCAGACCGTGTTTGGTGAAGCCCCGCATTTTGGTGTGTTCTGCAGTGGTTTCATTGCCAAAGGCATCAGGTTTGGGCCCTTCCAAGGTAAAGTGGTCAACGCCAGTGAAGTCAAGACCTATGGAGACAATTCTGTGATGTGGGAGGTAAATACGCTTCTGGGGGATCTGCCGAAACTGGGCAGGTGGGCAGGGAGACCGGTGGGGGAGATCTTGGCCTTTTCTCTCTGGGAGAGCCCTGGTCAGGGGAGGGGTCGTGGCCGGCAGCTCCCTGCTGCTGGGGTTGCCTATGAAAGGGAGGAATGGTGGGTGTTCCTCCTCAAAGATTTTTGCCTCTGCGTAGATTCTGTGTGTTTTGTGGTGCCCTGGGTCATTTTACTCTGTGAAGATTAGCCATGGATATACCTTTATTTTTATTTTTCTGAGTCAGGATCTCACTCTGTCCCTAAAGTAGCAGGGGTAACGGCTCACTGCAGACTCAAGCTCTTGGCCTCGGGGCATCCTTCTCCCTCAGCCTCCTGAAAAGCTGGAACAACAGGTGTGCACCACCACACCGGTTTTTTTGTTTGTTTGTTTGTTTTTAGAGATAGACTCTCCTTATGTTGCCTAGTCTGGTCTCAAACTCCTGAGCTCAAGCAGTCCTCTCACCTTGGGCTTCCAAAGTGCTGGGATTATAGACATGAGCCACCGTGCCCAGTGGAATATACTTTTAAATAAAGTACATTATGTTGTAATTATAGATAAAATCAAATGCTTTAGACATTATACAGTGCTGAAAGTATGTTAAAGAGAGTAAGAACAAGTTTAAAAATTCAAGACTATTCACCTATAAAATCAGCTTTTAAAAAAAACAGTACTCTTCAAGTTTTCGTTATGGTGTAAGGGGACATGCTGGTGGGACTGCAGTTTATCACCTGCGGGAGAAAACTATTAGAATGCATCAGATGGCTCAAAATGCTCAAAATCCCTTGACCCTGAATTTCTACTTCTAGAAATATAGTTTAGGAAAATAATCTGAAATCCAGGCTGTGTGGAAGATGTTAATCCCAGGGTTGTTCATAATACAAAACATTGGAAACAGTGAAGTTTCCAGCAGCAGAGAAAGAAATAAAGTATGGCTCCATTGATATGCATGAAAACTATGTGGGGATACAAAACAAAGCAAATTGGTGGTGTTTAGGTGGTGTTTATCTCCTCTATGCTGCCTTTATCTCTGCTTATGAAACTAATACATGTTCACCATAAGAATTGGGGAATTCAGAAAGTGATGAAAATAAAAATCATTAAAAATATGAGCTGGGTGTAATAGCTTGTGCCTATAATCTTAGAACTTTGGAAGGCTGAGGCGAGAGGATCGCTTGAGTTCAAGACTAGCCTGGGCTTCAAAGTGAGACTTTGTCTCTACAGAAAATTAATTAAGAAAAATAATTAGCCGGTGTGATGTCACGTCTATGGTCTCAGCTACTCAGGAGGCTGAGGCGGAAGGATCGCCTGAGCCCAGGATATCAAGGCTGCAGTGAGCTGTGATCATGCCACTGCACACCAGCCTGGGTGACAGAATGAGACTTTGACTCAGGAAAAAAAAAAAAGCAATCTGCATGATAGAAATCTACTTGGTGGAGTTAAATGTGAGATTTGTATTATGAGTTCTTAATAAATTTATTTTGTAGGTTAGGCAAAAAAAGGTAAAGTAGAGTACAAACTTTGTGTCTGGTTTCATTTAGATCTTTGAAGATGGTCATTTGAGCCACTTTGTAGATGGAAAAGGAGGCACAGGGAATTGGATGTCCTATGTCAACTGCGCCCGCTTCCCCAAGGAGCAGAACCTAGTTGCCGTGCAGTGTCAAGGGCATATCTTTTACGAAAGCTGCAAAGAAATCCACCAGAACCAAGAGCTCCTTGTGTGGTATGGAGACTGCTATGAAAAATTTCTGGACATTCCCGTGAGCCTTCAGGTCACAGAGTCAGGGAAGCAGTCATCTGGGCCCTCTGAAGGTGAGTGCATACCCTCACCTCGCCCAGTGAGGGTGTCCTAGGAGAAGGACCAGGGTCTTCTCCACAAGCCCTCCTGGTGAAACCCTCCCACCCAAAGGCTAATGCGGAAGGCGATACCGAGAGTGTCTAACCTGGGGTGTGTTACCCAGATTGAGGAAAGTGTGCTCGTCTTCCAAAGCTGCTGAAGCTGCTTCTGTTCATAAGGATTCCTTTTCTTTTATACCCCTCCCCCAAGAGTAAAAAAGGAACAAAGTGAATGGTTGTAAATTCTTCTGTAAGTGAACCAATTTCTGATTCATCTCTCCCCAGGCTGATGAAGTCAAAACGCTAGAGCTGTGTTTGTCTTTTTCTTTTTTTTTCTTTTTTGAGTTGGAGTCTCACTCTGTTGCCCAGACTGGAGTGCAGTGGCCACTCCCAGCCACTGTAGCCTCGACCTACTGGGCTCCAGTGATCCTTCCATCTCAGCCTTCCAAGTAGCTGGAACTACAGGCGTGTGCTACCACACACAGCTAATTTTTTATTTATTATAGAGATGAGGTCTCGCCAAGTTCCCCAGGCAGGTCTCGAACCCTGCAGACTCAGGCAATCCACTTACCTCAGCCTCCCAAAGCGCTGGGATTACAGGCTGAGCCACCGAGCCCGGCGTCTTTTTCTTTCTCTTCTTTTTTTTTTTTGGAGTTGAAGTCTTACTTTGTCGCCCTAACTGGAGTGCAGGGGCATGCTCATGGCCACTGCAGCCTAAGCCTACTGGTCTCAGGCAATCCTTCTGCCTCAGCCTTCGAAATAGCTGGAACTACAGGCGTGTGCCACCACGTCTGGCTAATTTTTAAATTTATTTTAGAGATGAGGGCTCGCCAAGTTGTCCAGGTTGGTCTCGAACCCATGGGCTCAGGCAATCCTCTCATCTCAGCCTCCCAAAGTACTGAGATTATAGGCGTGAGCCACCGCTCAGCCAGACCCATGCTTTTCAAATGGTAGGTTGCAGGGTCGCGGTATCTTAGTGAGGTGGGAAATCAATGTAGTGGTTGAAACCAGCATTAAATTTAAAAAAGAGGGAATAAGAATAAAGGAGATGGCCAGGTGTGGTGGCGCGTGCCTGTAGTTCCAACTACTTGGAAAGCTGAGGCGGATGGGTCACCTGAACCCAGCAGGTGGAGGCTGCAGTGGCCATGAACGTGCCACTGCACTCCAGCCTGGGTGACAGAGTGAGACTCCCAACTCAAAAAAAAAAAAA